GTCTTCAATTCCCAAGGCATAATTAACAATGGTGGTTCCCGTGATCGACTTCTCCAAGCTGGACGGCGCCGAGAGGGCGGAGACCCTGGCGCAGATCGCCAATGGCTGCGAGGAGTGGGGGTTCTTCCAGCTCGTGAACCACGGCATCCCGCTGGAGCTTCTGGAGCGCGTCAAGAAGGTGTGCTCCGAGTGCTACCGCCTCCGGGAGGCCGGGTTCAGGGCGTCGGAGCCGGTGCGCACGCTGGAGGCGCTCGTCGACGCGGAGCGGCGCGGGGAGGAGGTGGCGCCCGTGGACGACCTGGACTGGGAGGACATCTTCTACATCCACGACGGCTGCCAGTGGCCGTCCGACCCGCCGGCGTTCAAGGAGACCATGCGCGAGTACCGCGCCGAGCTGCGGAAGCTGGCCGAGCGCGTCATGGAGGCCATGGACGAGAACCTCGGCCTCGACAGGGGCACCGTCAAGGCCGCCTTTTCCGGTGACAGCCAGCACGAGCCCTACTTCGGCACCAAGGTCAGCCACTACCCGCCGTGCCCGCGCCCGGACCTCATCACGGGCCTGCGCGCGCACACCGACGCCGGCGGCGTCATCCTCCTGTTCCAGGACGACAAGGTCGGCGGCCTGGAGGTGCTCAAGGACGGCCAGTGGACCGACGTGCAGCCGCTCGCGGGCGCCATCGTCGTCAACACGGGCGACCAGATCGAGGTGCTCAGCAACGGCCGGTACCGCAGCGCCTGGCACCGCGTGCTGCCCATGCGCGACGGCAACCGCCGCTCCATCGCCTCCTTCTACAACCCAGCCAACGAGGCCACCATCTCGCCGGCGGCGGTGGCCACCAGCGGCGGCGAGGCGTACCCCAAGTACGTGTTCGGGGACTACATGGACGTGTATGCCAAGCAGAAGTTCCAGGCCAAGGAGCCCAGGTTTGAAGCCGTCAAGGCGGCGGCGCCAAAGTCATCTCCAGCGGCATAAATTAAAAAAAAAGGGACCAATTATATATTATAAATAATTATAATTTATTTGTTAAATATAATTTATTTGTTGGATATAACAGCTGGAGAAATAATAATATATAAGTATAATAAGTACGGGTTAGCATTTCAGGTTTTTCACTGTGTTTAACTTTAGTGGCATGGTATGATGCTATATTGTTGTAGCAATAAGTTTGTCAAGCTTTAATCCAATAGAAAAGATATAAGGTTTGTTAAGTCTTTGGTGTAGAGTTTATTAAGCACATGCACATCCAAGTATTGGGTTTTTTCATGTACTTAATTAATGTGATAGTGATTATATGTAAAAGTTGTACCATCATTGTTCAAATGCAATAAAGAGTTGTTTGGTAAGACTCCATGTGCACTGTTCCTTCGTCGGATTATCCAAGAGGCCGTAGCATCAAAATGTGACTCCTTGTCCTTACGTGTAAAATGGATCCAGCTCCTCTCTATTTAGCACCCAGATAGAAGCGCTTCTCCTTGAATGCGTGTTTAGTGCGACTCTTTTGACTCCGGTGTCGAAATTGCCAGCAGAGACGGATGGAGTCGGAGCGGCACCAACAGGGCCAAAATGTGACCCCCTCTATCCACGTCAATCTATATCTACTTATTTCATTGGTAGTTGTCATCTTACATCCGTGGAAAATTGTGCATCCATAATTTTAAGCTTAGCATATCCATAATGCATCCACAATTCCACGTATGTAGTCATATGTCAAAGTTGGGATGCAAATTCAACCTAGAAAAGTTCATACTAAAATGACGAATATCATGTGCACTAGAAGACAAAATTCTTGTGATTTAGTCTTTTAATTCACATGTACCTAAAATTCACCATTTTCGTATAAATTTATCAAAAGTGAGTTTGCATCCTAGCTTTCTTTACATATGAGTAGTGATGGAAATATATCTTTTAAGTTGGTTTCGACATTTTCAGAGAAGATGTAGCTTCCAGCTCATATTTCCCCGGATCTTCAGCCATCTATCAATCTTAGATATCTGCGTATGGAGAAGGAAGAAGAAGCGTCATTCATTTTTCTAGTGCATTCATACTAAGAGAGGTATCTCTTTGCCGTTACATACGAGGATGACTGGATGAGCAGCGAGGTTACTTTTAGAGTGGAGTGTGAGTGGAGTGGAGTAGCTTCTGAGCGATGATGGCATGGGCCAGCATGTCAACTCTTCATGGACCACCATTTGTGCATGTCCAACTCATTCCGTGTGGCGACGGCGACACTGCCTTTGCCACTTGCGGCGACAAGACAAGAGCACACAAGGCGCTGCAGGGCAGCCACTCACATGCCCACACATCTCACTCTCCCTCTCGTGGATGCTGCTAGCGGAAAAAAAAAAAGGCCTGTATTTGGGTCCAATTTGATGAGCACTTTGCGTTGCAAAGGCAAACACCAAATGCATGTCAAGCAAGAGTACAAGGGCCGTCTGGTAGAGCTTCATCTGATTCTGATTAGCTGAGAGAAGTGATTTTATGTCTAAAAGTGAATCTCTTTTATTTTTTATTAGTATAAACTCTCAAAAATACTATAGAGCTATTTTTTCAGCTCCCAGCCTTTTAGTTTATTTCAAATAATCACTTCACAGAATCAACAGAGAATCACTTCTCTCTAGAAAAACTGCTTGGCAGTGCTCTAACTGGATTCGGCAGAGAATCAACTCTGGAAGCACTAGCAAAGAGGGCCTTTGTAGTACAACTTAAACCATGCGCATATCTGTTTACAAGACCAATAATGTGTCATGGGCATGCCTGTGGGCATGTGAGTTGGAGCTTGTCGAGGGTGTTTCTGGGAATGTGCCTCGCACCTCTCCCTTGCTTTTTTTCCTTTTTATTTTCTCCTATTTAAATGTAATAACTTGTAGCTCTCCTGCATCGTTTGAGGAAAAAGAAGCATGGATAGATAACCACAGGTCGCAATGTACGTTGCTTGCATTTACGACACACTAGAGGGAATTCTCTTTCACTGCAGGTATTTGTTAATCGTATTACATATGTGGACTTGAAACATAAAGTGCATCCCCAAGAATTAATCATGTACTAGTAAACTACTAGCAAGTAGGAATAAATCTCAGTTGAGGAACTAGGGTCACATGAATAATCTTGTCAATAAATAAATAAAATAAATGAAGGGACCATCTGTATATCCGCTCAAATATTATCATCCTCAAATATGCCCATGTCACTTTTATAGCCGTTGCATTAATTAAAATTTAAAACTCAAGAATCCAGATCCATCTATCTCTCATTATATTGTTTCCATACTGAAAAAGTGCGGCAAAAATGACAAGGTTTTATTCGATTTTCTAGGACATTTATTTATTTACCTGTAATGTAACATTTAATTCTGTACTGGGGTAACTTTTTATTGGGCTAATATAAAAACAAATTTGACATGTTTATGCTAGTAAGGAAAGTATGGTGGACGAATAAATACCATTGCTCAAAAAATAAATGTAGTTTGAGCATCTCTATTGTCCCCTCTTGAAAAAAAAAAGATTGTTCCCTCCCAAATGGAATATATCAGCTATCGGAAGGACTAGTGTCTAATCAAAAGCATCAATACCTTCTCCTTTCTTTATTTATTAAAAAATCGACCTCGTCTTCTTCTATCACAAAAGATAGAATCAGTGATAATTCTGTCTCACAAAAATTCAGCATATTTCAGCATCAAACATAGTCTCATAAAAACAATTAGTCTCAAAAACCAAGTAATTTACCCCCTCTCTGTTCGTCAAAAAATACAATTCTAGCATGTGTATACCAAGTCAAATCATTTTAAAATTGACTGAATTTACATAAAAATATACCAATATTTATGATACCAAATAAATGTTATCAGATACGTGACGAAGTATAGTATACATATATTGTCTTGTAAATATTGATATTCTTCTATTTTCTATAATTATAGTCAAACTTTAAAAAATAAGAATAGAATAGAACTAGAATTGATCTTTTTTCAGGTGGAAGTAGAATCTCGCGGATCAGATAGGACCATAGGACCAGGTGCCTGTTTAGTTTCCAAAATTTTGCAAAATTTTTCAAGATTCCCCGTCACATCGAATCTTTGGACGCATGCATGAAGCATTAAATATAAATTAAATAATAAATAAAAAATTCACGAAATCTTTTAAGCTAATTACATATGATTAGACACTAAATTATCAAATAACAATGAAAATGCTTAATCTTTTTCCAAACAATTCCGTCATTAAACAAGGCCATGATTAAACCTAGCCTGTGTTGTAAACTGTAAATAAAAATTATCAAATTCCATCAAATCCAAAAGCTTTGGCTACTATCGCAAAAAGAAGATTCCTATTTTCAAACCAATACAAAATTATTGATCAAAAACAACGATTGCAATTATTATCAATCTAAAAAACCTAGCCTGTGTTGTAAACTGTAAATAAAAGCTAGCTAATAGAGCTATGGGGACCAATAATGCATGGCAAGATGCATCGATGTGGCGGCTGCTACCAGTCTACCACTGGACACTGGTTCGTTGCACGAAAATTCAGCAAGCGTAAAAGTAGCAAACAATAGCTTGTGAAATTGCACGGTAATTCGTCCTCGTCCTTCCGCTATTCCGCTGGGCTTTGTCCGGTGAGTCCTCGGCTCGCAGAGGAGCACACCAGGCAACTAGCCATGCAGGTCAGCATGCATGCAGACGGGTGCCGGCTTTCTCGCAATTTCGCCAAAAAAAAAAAATAAAAAAAGAAGATGGGTGCATCGATCGATCGAATATGTATGATTAATCCTCACTTCCTCAGATCCGAATATTTAGGATGAGTACATTTGAATGCAGGGATTGATTTGCACTCGAACTAATTTCACCGGCATTTGGTTTTAGATTCACTAGAATCGTGCACGTGTTTTAGGGGAGAGGAGAGGATCAGTAGCGAGCACATACATCTGTCACGCGAAACAAAGGCAGGGCCGCCGCCCCCTGTGCAGTGGTCCACTCTGAGCAGGCTTTTCTCCGGCTACGTACATGGCGGCGGAGGGCGCCGCCGGCGGCCGGGGAGGACGAGCCGCGCGGTACCCACCTCTGTCGGCGCTCGTCGTCTCCGCCATCGCCGCCGCCTCCGCCGTCATCGTCCTCGCCGTCATCCACTCGGTACGGTGGCTGACAAGATTATTACATTTCGACGTCGTTGATCGGGACCAATAAGTGTTTCTTGCGTTGCCGTGGTGGCTGACGGCGGTGGCCGGCGGGCGGTTTGTTTCTTTCTTTCGTGTGCGCAGGCGTACGACGACGCGGTGTCGCGGACGCGGACGCTGCTGGGCCACAACCTGGAGCCGACGCCGTGGCACCCGTTCCCGCACGCCAAAGGCCGGCCACCGGCGCGCGCCGCGTTTCGCTGAGCGCCCTCCATCGCCTGCCTGCCGCCGCTCTCGCGGCCTCGTCCTCCGCCGGAGCCCGAGCCAGCCAACGCATCGTCGTCGTCGTCGTCGGGGCGGCGCCAGTGCCCGGCCTACTTCGCGGCGATCCACCGGGACCTGGCGCCGTGGCGCGGGGCGGGGCGGGGCGTGACGCGCGCGCTCCTCGACGCGGCGCGGCGGCGCGCGTCCATGCGCGTCACCATCACGGGCGGCGGGACGCGGCTGCACGTGGACCTCTACTACGCGTGCGTGCAGAGCCGCGCGCTCTTCACGGTGTGGAGCCTGCTGCAGCTGATGCGGCGGTACCCCGGGCGCGTCCCCGACGTCGACCTCATGTTCGACTGCATGGACCGCCCCGCCGTCAACCGCACCGAGCACGACGACGGCGACCCTGCCTCCCCGCCGCCGCCGCCGCTCTTCCGCTACTGCACCACCAGGGATCACTTCGACATCCCCTTCCCTGATTGGTCCTTCTGGGGCTGGTAAGAGATGCATCATTGGCATATTTATATATATGCCTTCTATCTACTGTCAAGATTTTTTTTAATTAATGAATCAAGTGTCAAGAAGATTGATAGCGATGGTCGATGGACATATATAATGCAGGCCGGAGACGAACATCGAGCCATGGAACAGGGAGTTCAAGAGCATCAAGTCCGGCGCTCGGGCGACGAGATGGGCGGACAGGGTGCCGACGGCGTACTGGAAGGGGAACCCGGACGTGGCGTCGCCGCTGCGGGTGGCGCTGCTGGGGTGCAACGACACGGCGCTCTGGCGCGCCGAGATCATGCGGCAGAACTGGTCCGACGAGGCCAAGTCCGGGTACCAGCACTCGAGGCTCTCGTCGCAGTGCACGCACCGGTACAAGATCTACGCGGAAGGGTTCGCGTGGTCGGTCAGCCTCAAGTACATCCTGTCGTGCGGCTCCATGGCGCTGCTGATCGAGCCGCGGTACCAGGACTTCTTCAGCCGGGGCCTGGAGCCCCGGCTGAACTACTGGCCGGTGACGAACGGGGCCGATGATTGTAGGGACACAAGTTCGTGCAAAAGCATGTCCAGATTTGAGGCCAGTTGCAATTCCCTTGAATTTTTTTGTTTCCCAAGCCCTCTGAACTTACTGGTTGTATTGTGTATCTTGGCGTCTGGTTTTCCCACTACGTCATCTTATAGCAAAGGATTATGAATAACACTTAGGGCCCCATTCAAACATGGGCTAATAGGTGGGTTGATCTTTTAGTCTAGCCTCTTACTAGTTGTTGTTAGGGTACTTTCAACCCAGAAACTAGATTGCCTGGTTCCTATGTCCATTTATTAGTACGTCAACTAAGCAAAATGCTAATATGGCAATGTAGATGGTTCCTATGTTGATCAATTAGTACCAACTAAACAAAATGCTAATGTGCATTGTAGTTAATAAAGATAGAGAAGGAAATCATTTCTTATATAAAAAAAACTATGTCTACACGAGAACCAAAATACGAATAGATGTGATTGGTCAATGCTTACATAAGAATTAAGGTACAAATAGAATCAAGATACAAATAGATGTGATTGGTTGATGCTTACGTAAGAATCAAGCTACGATTGATGGATGCTAAGAGAAAGAAAACATTTAATGGACAAAATTAACTTTAACCAAACTATTGGAGAAAATAGTTTCTATATATAATGTCTATTTCACTCAGTAAATATGAAACCATCTCGTAGTTTCTAGAGGGTGACTACCTTAGCCAAGAGAGAGGACATTTGATTGGACAAATTTTAATTTTTAAAGAAACTATTCATTATTAGGAAAATATGGTTTCTATGTATATAATGTCTATTTGACTCAGTAAGTATAAAACCATCTCATGGTTTCTAGTGTTAGTGTGACTAACTCGGCAAGTATAAAACCGTTTCTAATGTTAGTTTCTAGAGTGACCAACTCGACAAGTATAAAACCATCCCATAGTTTCTAATGTGACTGCCGTTAGTCAACTAGCTGACCTATCTATCTAATCCGGTTTAATTTTTTTGCCCCGGCTAATAACTAGCAACTAGCTGAACTATCTATCTAATCCGGTTTAATTTTTAATAACCAGCAACTAGCTGAACTATCTATCTAATCCGGTTTAATTTTTTGCCCCGGCTAATAACTAGCCCTATCTATCCAAACAGCGCTTTAATAATCCACAAAGGCCAGTGGCCAGCAAGGGCAGTTCCAGAAATCCTGGCGCCGCTCTGCCTTCCACATAAACCAACAGTTGACAACGAAGCCAGAATACGCGCATCTACCTAGAAAACAAAAGCAGGTGCATACAGACCCAAACCGATACTGCAAATTCCCATAGTATCCACCATTTCATATAGCAAAACAACTCCAAGCATCATCTCGTCTCAGTTAAATGAAACAGTGATACAGATATATAGATAAAGCATTGGCATAGAAGGCACGGACAAGTACAAGTGCCTCTCCTATTCCTCATATCATCATATCTAATGTAGGTCAACACGATTATCCTATTTAACGACCAATTTACAAATTGCGAGCAGCCCGTGCTGTGGCAGGACCCATACGCACGCAAATCACCAAAACGCGCTGCAAATCATGGTAAAGTTGTTGACGCGCCACGACCTTGCAGGAGATTGCCACCCCCGTGGTATCGCACTAGTCTGGGAGCTGTTTTGGACTTTGCCACTAACCACCAATCAGGCAAGGTATTTGTACATATTCGCGTTGTCCTTGTCGCGCTCCAAGTAGTCCCTTGTGATGAGATCCTCGATCCTCTTCTTTATGGCTTTGAAGTCAGGCTGTATCACACAGGCCCAAGTAAGAAAATGAACAGAATACAACACAAGTAGCAAAACCAATTTTCTTCGTATATGATTATCCTAGATTACGCAGACATGGACGAGTTAACAGTTATCTTTGTAGATTGAACCTAACAAACTATCCCTTGGTTTGGGACATGTGACAGTTTGCCATTCATATGTAAGAGCAACCATAACATCATATCAAATTCAATCCAAAAGGGTACGTAATTACTTCTGATGCAACAACAGATACCCAATGTACCATGGGCAGAAAATTGTAACTGAATTACTGATACGCTTATTGCAAGAACTAAATAAAAATTGTAACTGACAGCAGAAAATAAGTTCAGTCATGCAGGTATTGTAACAGGGACTAAGCTACGAAGAACTTCTTAATTAGGAGATATACTGTCAGTACCTTAAACATGCGGCTCAGCTGCTCAACACATTCAGCAACCAGCTGTTGATGACCCATAACTTTGCGGCTCTTCATAATGCGCACAATTGATGCATCAATTGCATACCTCCTGTCTTTGTCAACATCTTCAACAACCTTTTTCTTCTCATCAACAGGAGGGAGTGGAATCTGGAAAGAGTGAACGAAATGAAATGTTAGCATAACAGCAACTAAACTCTTTACCAAACAGCAAAAGAACAGTGAAAACAGGAAATACCTTAATTCTTCTCATTCTGTCAGTAAATTTTGAATTGAACTCAAAAACATCATTTGGCGAGATTAATCTATTTGCCGGTTCCTTGGTAAGGATCTTGTATTTCGCACAAGAAAGCGAATGGAGCAAGCGCACTACATCATCATCTGACAGGTTTAATTGTGTTACAATCTCAGAATAACTAAGCCTGTCAGATCCATTGAACAGCAGTAGCAATGCAGCCTGTCAAAACAAGACACGTGTTAAAAAAACATGAGACAGGTTAATATAGCACCATTTATTGTGATACAGAAATGATCCAAGATTACCTGATATGTCGTAACAATGAGCTCAATAGGTTTAGTATCAAACTTAGCATTGATGTTGCAGGTTCCCAAGGAATAAATCCATGTCAGCTTCCTGTGCTTTGTTCTTGTTTGATAGAACTCCTTGAAAACCTCTACACATTTCACCTAGATGCAGACATATATAAAGTCATTTCAAAGAACATAAACATGTACCTAACATGCTTTTTTGAAATGAACTAACATGCTCCATGATACAAGTGCAGTGGTTGGTGCCCTTGAAGTGATCAAACAGTTAACTTACCATCTCAGCAGGAAGGTTTATGTCAAAAGTTTTGTAGCTTGGCCAGAATCCCGTTGTCAAAACAGTAACAGCCAAGTCTATCCCAGGATTCAACTCTGGACGTCCAGCTACAAACTCTTCAAACTTAGTCTGGTGATCTCTAGCGACAGTAAGGTCCGTAACCATGCCCTCCATTTTTGAAGTAAACTGCCCCCCGCACTGTTGCTTGAGCTTTGTCAGAATACTTCTCTCATGCTCGTCATTAGCACTTTTGTCAAAAAGTAATCTTCTTGCAAGTTTCTTCCTGTAAGCCAGTTCACATATTAAAAAACTTAACCAAGTTGCAGAGGGCACTATTTCCTTACACACTTTGACAAAAAAGCATTTTCTTTAAATTACACAAGCATTAATAATACCATGTAGGATAACAAGCACTCACCTATAGAACTCGGCAAATAAGTCTTTATCACTGATGTATGCCAGCAATCTCACCACCTGGAAACCAGTCACAATCATTAAAGCTCTGGCACATAATTTATCAATAACAGCAAAAGAAAAAATATGTACCTTTTCAAGAGCATCTTCAATGGCTTCATCACTGAGCTTCTCACTGCAACCCTTCTTCAGAATATTATCGCAGAAGGTAGCCAACAACTCAGCACTCGAACTGCCAGAGACACCTTTGTTACAGAAGACCTCAAAGGCTTCTTTAAGTGCCTGTGGTAAGAATTATATGAGAATGAGACACCATTTGCAATATTATGGCAACAGCAGAATGAAATTGAGATATTTCAGCTGAAGACCTTATGGAAGAGTGTATGTCCCTGGAAACATTGTGTCACATAAGCTACATATTTGTCATGCAGCTCGATGATTTTCCACACGAAGACCTAAAAAACAAGAATAAATGTAAGCTAACATAACACACAACAAAAGCAGAGTGCGATCAAGATACACACCTGTTCCTGCATGCCAACCATATCCTTCTTCTCTGGCTGTAAAAGCAATGAATTGTAAAAATAATAATTTAGGGAAGATAAATCAGAAAATTAATCAAATCAAATATAGCAAGAAGAATCAAACAGCTAGGTGGCAGAATATCAAGCATACAAAAGTGGTAATGTAAAGAAAAGGACTGGGAAATGGGAACTACTTAGCAACCTGACAATAGAGGTTAGATGAAGGTTGTTACAAACTATTAATGTGGAGGTTTTGCTGTTTATATATATGAATCAAAAAGTGCATAAAGGTAACATAAATAATTTAACAGCTAAAGAAACACTGCACCTTCTTATTACTAGCAGAATCTTCTGCTTGCTTTACCAAGGCTGTGCCTTCATTTGTAACATGCTGCGGACAAATATAACTCAATCAGAACTGAATATCATGGTTCAAAGGAATAAAATGAGTGAGCTAAAAAAGAAAAGAGGCACCCTGCAAGGGAAATTATTACCGTTTTGAACATGTTAGATATAGGCTCCAGACCGCGGGTGATTTTGGAGAAGAGCCTGTACATCCTAGAAAGATCCTCAACCTGCAGTAATAGAGGGATGCAGTGAATATTCAATACTGTTAGGAAGTCATTCATTAGATAATAATAATAATAATAATAAGGTTTTCAATCCAACCTTATCATCACGAAGCAAAGCAGAACATCCAGAATGCTCCTTCTCCAACAGCGGGGTTGCATACTGAGCAAGCAATTCATTTTGCACTTTCTGTCGAAATTCAAGATTATAACAATGTAAGGGTCATACGGGAAAATATGTCGAGCACTATTCAAGAAAGACATAGCAACATTCTGAATTCAAAACTGAAATATTTGCTGCAAATAAAATATTAATTGAAGAAATACTGCAAAACTGGAAAAGGAAAGATTTTGCACATACCTCCAACAACTTTTGTTCGCTGCTAATATGCAAATAGTGACCTACTCGCTCCTTCTCCCGCTTCAAACACTCCTCAGCCTTTTGAAAGAAGCATCAGCCATTAAGAAATAGCCACACGTAAATACAGATAGAAAGAGACAGAAACCTTCTCAACTCTAGGTACCTTAATCATGTAATCTGGGCATGAGTCCTCAAGAATCCAGCTTTGAGCCTTGACAGAGTAGTACTCTGTAGTATCCTTGAGCAAGAAATCTTCGAAGTCATTCTCATAACACTCCATTTGACCCAACCCAATTTCGACAAAAATATCCAAGACATTCTTCAACAGAGCCCGGTCAATCTGTTCACCCTCACGTTCTTTGTCTATCTGTTAAAAGAAAAAATATCAGTTCTCAAATAGATGAAGCTTAGGGATGTATGCAATCAGACAATTGGCCACTAATGCGCACAAAAGTTTTAAGATTTTCCACATGGAAGAGAGAATAGCAGTTTATTTGGTCCTTACTATATTTCAATATATTCCAACATGTATAACTTAGAAGAAAAAAATATGGTCAAAAACATATGTTGGAGATCATATTAATGTCCAAACATCAAGCAAATAAAGAATGGAACTAGTATATGTTAACCAACCATTTTATACTACCATTAATTCACAAAGAGATGCAAGGTCTCACCAGAGCAATCACTGCGTCTTTAACTTGTCCTTTAATCTCTTGATAGATCTGTTACCACAGTTTAATTGATTAGGGCATAAGCACTGAAAAAGCATGAGTGAAAAAGAAGCTGGAAATTAAGTAACTGTTGTTTTACCAACTCTCGGAAGCAAGTAAGGCCAACTTCTTTAAGTGGGGTAAGTGACCTCCTTGATATGAAGTACCGGTCAAGGTAATGAAAGAAACGTGAGAGCCAGCGAACCATGACTTTATGGTTTGACCACCTTTGCACTAGCTCCCTCAGCATAAACTCATCATGCTTCTCCCTTAACGAAGGTAGTACCTGCATGAAATTATAATTTAGTGAGAAAGCTCTCAGAAGTGAATGTACAAATACAGTGAAGAGCATAATAACATAGTTAGATTAAAGCGTCGTACAAAATCAGGGCATGACTCATGGGTTCAACCTCAGTCATAAAAACACCTACAGCTAATGGGAGGTATACAAGTTTCTTTTACAAATCAAATATGCTCGTCAAACAATAAATTAGCAAGCTACAGAAAAGCTCCTGCAAATTGAAACTAGCATCCATGGGTACTTAATTATGCAAACCATTATTTATCTTCCTGCCATAGATAGCATCGGTTAGTGTCTAATTCCTGTCCATTAAAAGGTGCTGCAAGAATACAAAAAGGTACTCTCTACATGATCTATAAGAAATGAGCTGCAGTGTACAAAGAATGGGCACAGAATTGTTTGTGAAGTAGCTGGGCCAATTGTTCCACCAAATCAAGATGCTTATTACAATTAAACTAAAGAGATTTAACTTATCCTGTAGAAAAAAGAGATGGCTGAAAGGGGAAAAGAAAGTTACCACTGCAATATTTGCAGCATAAAGAAAGTTTTGATTACTCCATTTACAAATTACAATCAAACAGATCAGCACAATTCTATATATATTATTATAATGGTTGACCATCTATGACAAACAACTCTCATTTTCCCCCAAAAAAAAGTCAAAATACAGAATGAATGAAACACTCCTGGTTTGCTGTCTACCCTTGAGTGAAATTACAATCAAACAGAAACTACAAGTTCCAACAAAAAGCAAATGGAAACAGCCACAGTGATATCACAAGACATCTAATGAATCTACTGGAGCCAACAGAACACCAGGCCCAAGTGTACAAGTAAATGGGCACAGAATTGTTACAAAGGCACATAAAGTAGCTGGACCAATTGTTTCACCTAATCAAGATGATTACAATCATTTTAAAGAGATTTTATTATCCTGTACAAATCAAGAGATGGACAAAAGAAGGGGAAGAGAGCGCTACCACTGCAATATTTGCAGCATAAAAAAGTTTTGGTTAGTTCATTTACAAAGTACAATCAAACAGATCAGGCCAATTCTATATAGTATAAGAGTTCGACCATCTATGACAAACAACTCTCATTTTTTCCCAGAAAAGAATGTCCATCTACAGAGTGAATGAACCTGACTAGTCATCGGCAAGCATTGTATTGTTTAGAAGAAAACCAAAAGGAAACGAGAACATCCCCATATACACCAAGGCCGTTCTCGTCCCAACCTATCAACCAACCAAGCGCTAATCCACCAAAGCTAAAAAAAACCATCCAAACTGCCTTATTATACTCAGGGTAGGAAATCTAACCCTAATACCACGCCGCAGATACAAAACAATCTAGGTCGAAGACAGACATTCACATGAGCAAGAGGGATATGAACAGGCGGCTCACCATGGAGGTGATGTACTCCTCGAACGACTCCCGATACTTGTCGTAAAGCTGCTGCGAGTAGTCGTGTGGCGGCTTCTGCGTGCACATGTTGTATATCGTCCTGCGACAAGGGAACCAAAACCCTAGATCAGAACCGGATCGAAGCGGATCGAGTTGGGAAACCCTAGCGGCCGCCGCCGCGAAGGCGACGGCGGCGAGGAGGAGGAGGAGGAGGAGGGGAGAGGGAGACGTACGTGTAAAGCATCATGTAGTCCTCGGAGCTGAACTGCGGCTCTGGCTTGCCCTCGAGGATGTTCTTCAGCTTGGTGATGCCCTTCTGCATGACCGCCCATCCCTCCTCCAGATCGATTGTCCTACGCTCCTGCCCCGCCATCGCCGCAGGCGGAGGTTGCGGTGCCGACGCGCGGAGAAGCAAACCTTAGCGCCGCCGCTGGGGGTTTGGTGGTGCGCCTGGGGAGGATGGCGAGGGTCCTCGAGAGGCGAGCGCGAGAGGCGGAACGGGGGGAGGAGGAGAGAGGCGAGCGCGTGGGCGTAAGGAGAGGGCTGGGCTGGGGGTTCTGTTGTATACCGCCGCGGCTGACCGCCTTCCAGGCGGCCCCCTCGTCGTTGGGGAGATCCCGTGTGATTCAGACTCCGTCCCCGTCGTCCGATCGCGAGGTGGACGGCCCAGATGACGAGCCTTGCGCTAGTGTGGATCATGGTATGAAATCAAATCAAACTACTACTTCAATCCGGGTTCCTAATAAATAGGGTTAGCTGTTTAGTAATTTATTTATTTATTTATTTTAGCTAGTTCTGGATTTATTTATAAGTTAAACTATGCTGCACTTGACCATAGCACCAACTAAATATATTAGTAAAATTCATTTTGAATAGTAATTGATCTAATAATAATAATAACACCATGTTCTTCGGCACTACTCCAGCAGTACTTTTCAGCGAACGAACAATATTTTCGTCTCACAACAAATCAGCATAAGCCAAATTTCAACGAAACGAACAGGACCTATAGAAAATTCATCTTAATAAAAAATTAGTCAGGCTTAGCATTGTCTTATATAGGACCAACCTAAAATTAGCTATGTTTTGGAATGATGAAGTACTATATATTATGTTTAAAGTTCCTCTAAAATGTTATCTTATTATCATATAACAAAATATTAGCGGTTTAGTTGCACACAAGCATGAAAAAATATCATCAGTAGAACATGTAAATAATGCATGGTCGAGCATGGGTTCACGGACATCTTGCGTTGAGGTTCATGGCGGACAGAATCTCACTCGGGCATCGGCATTGTTCATCCTCGAGACCACTGGGCGCAAAAGGAAATATGGAAGATCACGCGATTCATGCCGGTAGGTCTGATCATCGGCATGGACTTGAGGATTGAATGCATGCATCATCTGCGATTCTTATCAGTTTTCATATTTACATTCGCGGATTCGGACACGGATTTCGGATACATATCGGACTCACTTCGGACATCTGAGTATCGAATTGGAGGTTCACGGTGGGACAGAATCTATTCTGATATTGAGTAAAAGCGGCATATATATATATACATACGTGCAAACCATTACACCACTCTATGAATCCATAATCCATCTAGATTAAGCCTGGGGCCATGTCATATAAGCACCAATCTTCACGAGACCACATTGCTTCATGGGTCTCATGGAGTCATGGTCATGGATTCAAGATCTACAATCCTTATATAGGAAGAAAGTTTGAACAAAATGTAGTTCAAATTTTACAAGTGTGTGACATAGTTTTAGAAAGTGCATATGAGATTTAAGAATTTGTGACTAGTGTTTGATAAAACTTTCTCAAATGGGAAAATAAGCTATGTAACAATTGTATATCTTGCTGAGATAATCAAACTTGGTATTCAGAGTTTTTTCATCTGAGCTCATTTAGTGTCTCATTTGAGCAAGTTTGACCAAGTCAAATTTGGTCAAATGAAAAAACAACACTTTGACTCTAGTATTATGAACTCATGCAAAAGTTTTGAATACCAAGTTTGTTCAACTCATCAAAATCTACAATTCTTGTTTTGGTCTTTCCATTTGGATGGCGGATTTTTAAATTTCGATGCTTACAAACTAGTTTTCGGAACCCTCATCTCAAATTGACTTTTGAATACCAAGTTTGTTCATTGATTTTTTATTTGAAAAAGTTTGAACAAAATGCATGTGTGACATCATCTGTGATCAGAAGAATTTGTGACTAGTGTTTAATAAACAATGGACCACCTCATCCTTGGCTGTCCCTTCAGCAAGGAAGTTGGGAGCATTCTGCTGGCTAAGCTTCAGTTGCAAGAAGTCATGATCGTTCAGGAGGAGAGAGTGTTGGAATGGTGGCTGAGAACTAGGAAGCTTTCTGCATTTTTAAATTTCAAGCGCAAGTTTTTGAACAAGATTGTCTCAAATTGAAAAGTTTTGAATACCATTCCCTCTTATTCTTCCAAAATATAGTTCGGGTGGAGCATTTGGAAGGAATGGGATGCTAGGACTTTCAATGGCACTTCCGCTATGCACCAAGTTGTTTGGATGATTGTTAATTCAGGAGGAGGCGAATGAGTGGTGCCTAGCAAATTTGGTCAAATGAAAAAACAACACTTTGACTCTACAAATGACTTCAAATTAAAAAGTTTTGAATACCAAGTTTGTTCAACTCATCAAGATCTACAATTGTTGTTTTGCGCTTTCCATTTGAGATAGTTTGGATGCTTATGTGATGTCTTATCCGGATTATCCGATATCCGCCGGATATCGATGACCTATCCGCCTAGGTTTAGCAGTCAAAAAAAAAGCGGATATCAGAGTAATATTTTTCATATTTGTTCGATTGAGCGGACGGTCGAATAAATATCCGTACGTAATCCTCAAGGAAGTTGGGAGCATTCAAGCTTCAGCTGCAAGAAGTCATGATCGTTCGGGAGGAGAGTGTTGGAATGGTGGTGAAGAACATGGTGCACAAGCAATGCCCAGGGCTTCGATTCCCTCTTCTTCCTCGTCGGGTGGAGCATTTGGAAGGAATGGGATGCTAGGGAGTTTCAATGGCACTTGGCTTGTTTAGTAATCCTTTAATTACTGCTGCGGAACATTTGTATTTTAAGTTTTTCTATCCCTGCTTAATGAATGTCGTGCAAAGTTTTTTTTGTAAATAATGCATGCAAATAATAGTTGATCCTCAACGTGTAAGAACTAAGAAAATCCTTTGCGGTGAGCCCTGCTGTTGACGACCAAAATTGACTGAGGCATGAAAGGTACTTTGTGGTGATGTTTCTGGCAATAAAACACTCGTCAAAATATATTGGAACCTCGCATTGAAGCCTTGGAGGCAAAAAGGACAAGGAAGACTAGCGCCCGGTCAGCGGTACCGGCCAAACCGATTTCTCTGCCCAGCCAACTAGCCAGGCTTGCGCAGGCCTGACAAAAATGGCCCCTGCGTGCCCTACTGAAGCCAGCCTCCTCTAGCCCGACGAAACCTTTCCTGTTCGAGTCCTCACCGATTACTTTTCAAATTCGGCTTTTGACTCTGGCGTAGAAAACGTGGAGATTACGATTTAGACTTGCTTTCTATTAAGATAAGACCACCCTTCTTATATATTAGAGGATCATGGTTGATTGAGAAATCCAGCATCCAATCGACTTTTTACATCTACTATAACCTTTTTTGCCTTTTTTTCTAATCTCGTTGTTTGTTGTAACTCTCCGCGAGATCCAATGGCGTTTTAGATGGCCTTACCAACCTTATGATAACCTCAGATGTGCATCTCCCCAACGGTCCTCCTTGGAGGTGTTGCCGAGTTCTTGTGGCGAAGGACAGGCTCTAAATCGGTCAAACCGATCTCTAAATCGGTTTCACTAATCTTAGTGTTTGCTTGCTGCGTGTGATAGGTCGTAATTTTACTAGTCTTATCTTACTCTTATATTTAAGCCACAAAGAGTTTCTTGGTTTCGGTCCGTTTTCAATTTTTAGTTTCTTTTCGAATGTCTCAGACGTTGACTAATATGAATCCAGGTGCAATGCCCTCATGAGACATGTGTGACAGCTTGTGTGGCCTTGAGCCCTATAGCCCTATTTGAATAACAGATTTGCTCGTTTACTGCAAAGACCTAAGGCGCATGTGTATTGCTAGCTTGCTGCAAAAATTACAAATAAGTTGCAATGAAATTAGACAATTTTATATTTTACTTAAACGAAGGAATAATATATTATAAAATAATGTTAGTGGATGGCAATGAAATTAGACTATTTATAATTTACTTAAATGAAGGAATAATATGCTCACGATACTTGTGAAAAAATTGGCATGTGTTGGGTCGTGACATTAAGCGTGATGTTCGCAACATTCTGTTTCTAGTCAATTATGAATATTACATGAGTTTTCATGAAACATGAATAATTAGAATATGATTCAAGTTTAATCCAACCACATAACTCCCCAATGCGTTAAAAATCACCTCTCTACTTTTATACGTTCGCCTTACAAAGGGAACGTAAAATATGACCATGGTAAGAACCATTAGGCCTCTGTAGCTGTGTAGCAATGCCTCATCATTGTTCTATGTTAAGAATCATTAGGCCTCTATCACCATTTGCCATCGTTTTGTGATATAGAAGCACCACACAAAAACACGAAATCATATTACAAAATAAAAGTTATTTAACTGGGATTATTTGAACAAAAAAGAATATAACAAAGTCCACTACAACAGATAAGGTATATTTTCCTTTCCCCCAATTCAAGGCAGCAGATGTTTTTCTTTGTCATGATCAATGACAATGCAATTTATATTGCATTGAAAACAGAAGGGATCAAGCAGTAGCATCACATGGAGAACACGAAAATTCGGTTAAGAAATCACACCTCCATGCGCTAGATAGATAGATAGATGACAAGTATGACAACGTCACACACAGAACATGCACTAAGGTCGAAGAAATCAAGTATTCACCTTCGACTTGCACTATCATAGTATCATCCCATCTCCTAATCTAATTATGATCTGTTGGCTTATTCTTTGAACTTGTTATTTTAGTTATTAATCAGCATGTAGCTGATTTATGTGACTAAATTTAATGAATAAGCACTGAACTATGTATGTTAGATAGAGAGTAGAGAGTAGAGACTGCCATACTTGGTAAAATATTAGCAGATGTCCTCCCTGCATGCAGCATGCGTGCATGTCCTCAGTCCCTTAACAGAAAGAGAAGGAAGAAAACTGAATGCGTGCGTGCGTGCATCATCAGTGCATGTCCTCCCTGCATGCAAGGTGATTGTGCATTTCCTTTCCGGTAAATAAGCAGAAAGAAAAGGAATATATGCGTGGAGAGAAACCGGGAGATGATGGAGTTTTGCCAGC